TGTGGTATTCTGACATGGTATTGTTGCTACAGATAAATCCGAATATTGTTTGTTTTGCTTAATTAATGTTTATGGAAGTAATGGTGTTATAGATGCAATGAACATACATAATGATAATATGTGAATAGGCTGTGGGGCGTTGTGTTATACGTTCGTTAAGAGAGAGAGAGAGAGAGAGAGAGAGAGAGAGAGAGAGGGAGAGAGAGAGAGAAGAGGGAGGGGGGGGGAGGGAGGGAGAGGAGAAGGAGAGGGAGAGGGAGAGGGAGAGGAGAAGGAGAGAGAGAGAGAGAGAGAGAGAGAGAGAGAGAGAGAGAGAGAGAGAGAGAGAGAGAGAGAGAGAGAGAGAGAGAGAGAGAGAGAGAGAGAGAGAGAGAGAGAAGAGAAGAGAGAAGAAGAGAAGAGAGAGAGAGAAGAGAGAAGAGAGAGAGGGAGAGGGAGAGGGAGAGGGGAAGGAGGGAGGGAGGGAGGGGTAGAGAGAGAGGGAGGGAGAGAGAGAGAGAGAGAGAGAGAGAGAGAGAGAGAGAGAGAGAGAGAGAGAGAGAGAGAGAGAGAGAGAGAGAGAGAGAGATGGATAGATAGAGATAGATAGAGAGCGATAGAGATAGATAGATAGGGAGAAGGAGGGAGAGAGACAGAGAGAGAAAAAAACAAACAAACAAATAAACAAAGAGAGATGAGATGACACACTCACGCGGACGCTCACAATAACAACATAAACATATTACAGCATTGAAACGACCCAAGCTGATATATCAATTACTGCAACATAACCTCATTGTCTCCGGTCCTGCAACTATGCAAGCTTCATTGTTCTCGAAGCAGAATAAAGTCATTTGTGTATCGGGTAATTACGCGTTGCCAACACGCGTGCACCGATTTAATCTCATTTTATATTCGAGGAACACCCTATTGTCAACGTGGCGTGTTGTTGCCATCGACTCGTCATTGATTTTGTGCTCTGAATCAACGGCATGATTGGTCAAACCTTTATGCCGTAGTGAAATAAGGTGCTAATTTGCAACAAAGACAAAGAAATAAGCAAAAACAAACACAGGAGAAGAAGAAACATATGTACACGTACTCACAAACAATCTATACTTACAGAAACAAACAAATATGACCTTTAAGAGTACGAAATCACACGGAAACAAACACAAACACACAGACAAAACACAAACAAAGAGACGGAGACACAAACAAACACAGACAGAGACACACACAAACAAACAGACATTCAGACAGACAGACAGGCAAAGACAAACAAACTAGCCAACGGTTATTCAAAACAGATATTTTTACAAACACACGCACATGTAAAAGAAAAGAAATAATACACATAAATTTGAAAAATACGTACATACAGGATATCAACTAATCAAACAAACAAGATCATTCAGCCACAAAGAAAGAAACAAACAAACACAGAATATCTCCTCCACATAAGCAACCATAAATATTACCCCCCCCAAAAAAAAATGCCCTCCACCCCCCCCAAAAAAAAAAGAGGAAAGAAAAAAAAGTAAAAAACTAACAGACAAACAAACATTAAACCCAAAACAACGAAAAACCCTCCCCCCTAAAAAACAAAAACAAAAAAAAACACCCACAAACGAAAAAAATACAGAAAATAGATAAAAAACAAATAAAAAGATAAAAAAGCACACAACAAAAAAAAAACAAAAAAACACCCAAAACAAAACCATAACCTCCCCGCCTTCCTCCCGCAGACGGCGCTGACGAAGTGGGCTGCGACCGGTCCCCGTGCGACGGCTTCCGCTGCTGGGACGAAGTGTGCATCCCGGGGCCGTGGCACTGCGACGGCCACGAGGACTGTAGAGGTCGGTGCCAAGGGGGTTTAAGTGTGTTTGTTTGTTTGTTGGTTGTGGGAGGTCTGTGGTGGTGTTTTTTTGAGGTTTGTGGAGTTGTATTTTTAGTGTGTTTTGTTGTTTGTTTGTGGGGGTCTGGGTGGTGTTTTTTTGTTGTTTTTTGTTTGTGGAGGGTTGTGGTGTTGTTTTGTGTTGTTTTTTTGTTTGTTTGTGGGGGTCTGTGGTGTCGTTTTCTGTTGTTTTTTGTGGAGGTTTGTGGTGTTGTTTTTGTTGTTTGTTGTTTGTTTGTGGAGGTCTGTGGTGTCGCTTTTTTGAGGTTTGTGGAGTTGTATTTTTTAGTGTGTTTGTTTGTAGAGGCCTGTGCTGTTTTTTGTTTGTTTTGTTTTGTTTATAGAGGTCTGTGGAGTCGTGCTTTTGTTTGTACTTTTGTGTTTTGTTGTTTGTGTTCTTAATTGTTTGTCTTTGTTTGTTACTATTGTTGTTTTTGTGTGTTTATGTTTGCTTGTATTTTTTGTCTTCTATCTCTTTTTCTGTGTCTCGCTTTTATCTATTTCTCTTTCTCCCTCTTTCTATTTTCTAAATTCTTTGTTTGGCTCGCTCTCTCCCTTTCTATTTGTGTATCTTTCTATCTCCCTGTCTATCTACCTACCTATCTATCTGTCTATCTACCTATCTATCTATCTTTATCTCTATTTTCTCCCCCTCCATCTCTCCCTTTATCTGTGCTTTCTTTGGTCTATTTGCATTTGTCTCTATCGGTTTCTCCCTTTTATCTCCTTCTCTCCCTTTCTTCCTCCCTTCTTCTTCTAAGAATAAATTATGGAGTGGAAAGTCCTGACAATCTCAGAACAAAGGAACTGTCATTGTTTCTCTTGTTTGTGTGTCTCACTTGTTTAGAAATGTACTTTTTTAACGGCCTCCCCTCCCTCTCTACCCCCCTCCCCCTGCCTCTCTTCTCTCTTAGGTTATTCACGTATTTCTTCTTCTCTCTCACCTCTTTCTTCTTTTTCTTTCTGGTCTTTCTATATCTATCCTCCTCTCTTCCTTTTATCTTTTATGTAATTTTCTTAACGTCCTCTTCTCCCTCACTATCTCCCCCCTCCCCTTCTTCTCTTCTCTATTAGGCTATTCACTTCTTTCATTTTCTTTCTCTGTTCTTTCCTTATCCATCCTCCTCTCTTCTTCTTTTTTACTTTCTCTCTCTTTCTTTCAATTTCTCTTCTACCCTTTTCCCTTTCTTTACTTTTCCTTCTTTTTTTGTTCCGTTTCCCTCTCCTTCCTTAATCCTCTCCCTCTCTGTCTCATTCCCATTTCTTTTTTTATCCTTTTTCCTTCTGTTCCCTTTCTCTTCTCTTCCCCCCCTTTCTTTCTTTCTCTCCTTTCCCTGCTTTTCCTCTTTTAACCACCTTCCCTCTACCCCTTTTTCACCTCTCCTTCCTTAACCCTCCTCTTCTTCCTTCTCCCCTCCATCTTCCTTCCTCTCCTCTCCCTCCCCCTCCTTCTCTCGTCTTCCCCCTTTCCCCCTTCCTTCTGTCCTCGTTCTCATTCTTCTCCTCTTCCCCCTCCCATCTCTCCTTTCCCTCCCCCTCCCTCTCTCCTATTTCTTCCCCCCTTCCTTTAATCCCTTTCTCCCCTCTCCCCCCGTCAAGTCTTGAAGTCAAAACAATTCCTTTTGTTGTTTAATAACCCCTTTGTGTGTCTCATTTGTCCGCGGTTTTTCACGTTTTTCAACCACCCTCATCTCCCTATCCCCCCTACCCAATCTCACCTCACCTCCCTATCCCCAGTACCCACCCCAATCTCCTACTCCCCTACCCACCCTCATCTCCCTCGCCTCCCTAACCCCCCTTACTCACCCTCCCCTCTCCCCATCCCCCTACTCGCCCTTACCTCCCTGTCCCCCTACCCACCCTCATCTCCCTTGCCCCCCCCCCTACTCACCCTCCCCTCTCCCTGTCCCCCTACCCATTCCCATCTCCCTATCCCCTTACCCACCCATCTCCCTACACCCACTACTCACCCTCCCTCTCCCCCTTACCCCCCATCTCCCTATACCCACCCACCCCAATCTCCCTATTCCCCCTACTCACCCACCCCGCTCCCCTCTCCCCATCTCCTACCCCTACCCCCATCTCCCTACCCCCTACTACTCACCCCCAACTCCCTACCCCCTACTCACCCTCCCCTCTCCCCTACACCCCTACTCTCACCCTCATCCCCAATCTCCCTCACCTCCCTACCCCCTACTCACCTCATTCTCCTTTGCCCTCCCTTCTCCCTGTCCCCCTTACCCACCCCTATCTCCCCATCTACCTACCCCCCTCAATCTCCCTACCCCCCCTCAATCTCCCTCTCCCCCACTCACCCCCTACTCACCCTCCCCTCTCCCCCTATCCCCCTCTAGCCACCCAATCTCCCCCTACCCCCCCTTAATCTCCCTACTCACCTCCCCTCTCCCCCCAGACGGCGAGGACGAGTACGGCTGCCCCGTCTGCAGCCAGGAAGCTCTCAAGTGCCCCTCTGGCGGCGGCTGCGTGTCTGTGGATCTCACCTGCGACGGCGTGGAGGACTGTCCTGATGGGTAGGTGAGGGATGGGAGAGGGATGGGATGGGTAGGGAGAGGGTGAGGGGAGAGGGGAGGGTGGGATAGGGGATAGAGAGGAGGGATGGGTAGGGGAGAGGGGGTGGGAAGGGAGAGGGGAGTATTGGGAGGGATGGGATGGGTAGGGAGAGGGGGTAGGGGGGGTAGGGTAGGGGTAGGATGGTAGAGAGGATGGGAAGGATGGGTAGAGATGGTAGGGTAGGGAGAGGGGGAAGGGTAGGGGAGAGGTGATGGAGGGGAGGGATGGGAGGGGAGACGGGGAAAAGGGGATGGAAAGGTAGAGGGGAGAGGATGGGTGGGTAGGGAAGGATAGGGGATGGGTAGAAAAAGGAGAGGGAGGGAAGGAAGAGGGGAAGGGAGGGAGGAGTGAGAAAGAGGAAGAGGGTTGGGAGGGTGGGAGGGAAATAGGAAGAGGGGAAGGAGGATAAGGGAGGGAAGGTAGGGAAGAATAGGAGTGGTGGGGAGGGAGAGAGAAAGAGGGGAAGGGAGGATAAGGAAGGGGAGGAAGGGAAAGAGGGAAAGGAAGAGGAGAGAAGAAGAGGAGATGGGAAAAGAGTCGAAAGGAAGGGAGAAAGGGAAGGTTACAAAGGGTAGGGAAGAAGGGAGGGAAAGAGGTAAAGGGGAAGAGAGGATAGAACAGGAAGGCAGGGAGGAAGAAGGGTAGGAAGGAAGACAGGAAGAAGGGAAGTGAAGGTAGGAGTTAAAGGAGGAATGAGTATTTATAAAGCTACCCTGTACGTCCTAATTAAAAGGAAGGGAAGGGAAGAGGGGAAGGAAAGAAAGGGAAGAAGAGGGAAAGGAAGAGAGAAAAATAGAGAGATAAATAGATAGATAGATAGATAGAGAGATAGAGAGAGACAGACAAATACAGACAGAAAGAGAGAGAGAGAGAGAGAGAGAGAGAGAGAGAGAGAGGGAGAGGGAGAGGAGAGGGAGAGGGAGAGGGAGAGGGAGGGAGAGGGAGTAGGAGAGAGAGAGAGAGAGAGAGAGAGAGAGAGAGAGAGAGAGAGAGAGAGAGAGAGAGAGAGAGAGAGAGAGAGAGGAGAGAGAGAGAGAGAGAGAGAGAGAGAGAGAGAGAGAGAGAGAGAGAGAGAGAGAGAGAGAGAAGAGAGAGAGAGAGAGAGAGAGAGAGAGAGAGAGAGAGAGAGAGAGAGAGAGAGAGAGAGAGAGAGAACAAAAACAAAACACCAACAAAAAAAAGAAAGAGAAAGAAGAGAGAACAAAGCAATAACAAAAAACACAATAATACCCAATAAAGGAAATGGAATTAGCGTCGAAAAGAAGGAAGGACGAGAGAGAGAGCAGAGTGAGAGAGGATTTTAAAAGCACCAGAAGAGGGAAGTTGTTGATTAAAAGCACAATGGCCCTGAATCCGTGCAACGTGCAAAAATTCCTGCAATTGTTCACCATTTGCACTTTTTGGTGCTTTTGCTCATTGTTCCTTCCCTTTTTTTAGGTTATGTGTAAAGGGTAATCAGATTAATAAGGATTAAGGTACTTAAATGAAGGTCGTATTGTATTTTTGGGGGGGGGGGTAGGGTTGATGTTGGGTTTCTTTTAACAAATGATTGTAGGACGTTGTGGCAGTATATTTAATGTCATTGATATAGTATGTGATATAAATAAGATGAGTGTCTATAGTAGCACATATTCAGTTTATATTGTGTTATTTATGCAGTATATAGTCAGTGGTATGTATAGATACAGTACACACACAATGATATAAATACAGAATATATACAAATGAGAATAAATACAGAATATATGCGAATGTGAATAAATAAAGATATGCGAAAGAGGATAAATACAAAATATATGCTAATGAGAATAAATACAGAATATATACGAATGAGAATAAATAAAGAATATATACGAATGAGAATAAATACAGAATATATACGAATGAGAATAAATACAGAATATATACGAATGAGAATAAATACAGAATATACGAATGAGAATAAAGAAAGAATATATACGGTGATAAACAGACACAATATGCACGATGTAAATAAAAAATATCTTTCCTATTCAGGTGGGACGAGTCTGGCGAAGTGTGCAAGAAGGACCAGTGTGGCCCAGACGAGGTGCCCTGTTGGATGGGACAGTGCGTGGAACATCGCCAGCTGTGTGACGGCGTTGCAGACTGTCCCACTTCAGAGGACGAAGATTCGAGCTTCTGCCTCGCCTTCAGGTCTATGAGGGTCGCGGCGCCTCCTCCTCCAACCAGCGCTCAGCCTTCTACGACGCCGTGTACTCCGGCGGAAGTGCGGGAGGTCAACTGCACTCAGGAGGAGTTTCGGTGTGCGAGCGGAGAGTGTGTCCTGCGCACGACCCTCTGCGACGGGAAGCGAGACTGCTGGACGGCGGACGACGAGGAGTTCCCCATTTGCAATTTCATCTTCAACGTGGACGTCGCGAAGGAAAGGGTTGAGGCCAAAGGGGACGGAAGGAAGTGCGACGAAGCGACGATGACCCTCTGTCCCTCGGGGAGATGCGTCCCTCTCGGCGAGGCGTGCGACAGAGAAAACGATTGCGAGGAAAACGATCCCGATCGAGGGGTGACTTGTGTAAATTCGCACGAGGCGGTTACTACGGTCGCCTCTGGAGCACGCGAGAAGACTGTTACTGACGATATCGATAATGAAATCGAAAATGATTTGACGATCGACGTACCGCCTACGACAGGCATTATCTCACAAGATAGTAGAGACCACCTTTATAAACCGAACGATGTAGAGGATGTTGACGAAGCAGCTGGAGTGAAAAACATCACATCCTCAACAGCAAACAATGAAATCTCTGGAGCTGCTGAGAATGAGATAGCCGGAGGTGGAAATGCCCTCGAGGGAGAAGCCAAGGAGAACGACCTCAACCTGGCGAGCCTCGAGGACGATGACGCCTTCGATGGGGTTGAGGTCAGCGTCGACGTCCTGGTGGAGGGCTCGACGCTTCCCGAAGGAATGGACGCGAGCTTCGACGTCACGACGACCGGCGACTTCGATGACGACGCTGATATGGAAGCCTCCGGTGATGACGAGTTCACAGACGACGTCATCGTCACCGTGTCGCCTCCTTCCGTCACTCCAACTGTCTTGGAAGTGACGACGACGCAGAAGACAGCGTTGACGGAACACGAAAGGAGAATCAACGAGCTCGCATACAACGACACAGACATAAATAGCATATTGGATTACAGTGAAGAGGACGAGGAGAATCATAAGTCCACGTCGTACTCGTCTTCCATGGAATCGGACGAGAGTTCTGAGACCGAGAAGACCACTTTCGAAATTGGTGGAATCGGATCCAACATGTCGATAGAGAATTCCTCCTTTATATCCTCCAAGTCGTCGTTATCCTCCTTGGAAAGTGGAGAATCTGAATTCGACGGAGAACTGCTGAATCAGACAACTAAAAGTGTCTCGATGCTCGATGCAGCCTCTGCCACCACTACGGCCTCAGCTGAAGCCAGTGCCGCTGAGTCGAACATCACCGTAATCGAATACGACATTTCTTCTGAGGACAAAATATCCACCAGTAATACCTCTCTTAACTCGAACCAAGACACGCTCGACGACGCTTCAACGAACGACAAAACAACCACGGAAGCTAGCGAGACTACCGCCACTTTGCAGGAGACCGCAGAAACCACAGCAGGAAGCCTTCCATCTCCAAACACGACGTCGGATGAGGAAGACTTGGGTTCCGGCGAAGCGGAATCTTACGGAGAATTCGACTCTGTCAACAAAACCACAAGTACTTCTCCGCCTGATACTTCGGAGACGAGGCATCCGGAGTCGACACCTGCTTCACAAACTGCTGCTTCTACTGAACAGGATGAATCGACGTCGAAAATCACATCTTCCTCAGATGCCGAAACACATACTTCGAGCTCTACCGTTGAGTTTTCTACTCTCAGTCCAACCGTCGAACTTCCTACACTCGGTTCGACAGCCCAGTCCTCGCCGTCAAGCTCGACTCCCGAGGCTACGACGACGACGACTTCAACCGTCACGACCTTTGCTACGGATATGACGAGCTGGAAGGACCAACAGACAGACCAGCAGAACCTGACGGTGCTGATCGCCATTCACTCGGAGATGAACCGGAGTCGCATTCCCCAGTACGTGATTCACGGACTCGACGGGAACACCTACGAGTACGAGGTCGTGACGGTGGTCAAGGACGAAGAGCTGGCCAGGAAGGTCCAGCTCACGGCGACTCGGAGGCCACCCGAGGGGAAGGACATCCACGCGTCCTCGAAGGAACCGGGGATGCTGGAGGACGACTCGGACGGCGAGGACCCCGAGGCGGACACGAAGGTCACCAACGGCACGCACGAGATCTCTTACCTCCAACACAACGACATCTCCTCCGCCTCCAGCGTCTCCTCGTCCCTCGCCTCCCTCGCCACCGTGGTCCTCCTCCTCCGGACCCTGTTGCCCGCTGGCTAAGGCGCCCTCCACCGCCCCTCGGGAAATCCAAAGGCAAGGAGCGTCACAGCCAAAGGTCCTTCGATACTAACAAGCTCGTAAATGGTTGGCATTTGGTCCGCTGGAACGACCCTCCGCCGGGACAAACGAGATCTTTAAAGCACCCTCTAAGACTAAGACCTCAACGCGCGAAAGACGTACCGTAAACCACACAGTGTGAGGACAATGTGCACAAGGGGCCAACTATGTCCGTAGCTCTTTAGAAAACGTCAAGGGATACCAGAGATATGCATGGAATAGTTTCGAACAAGGCTGTCTGAAGGACTTTTTTTACGTTGGGACAGCCATGCACTGCATTCAATGTTCACAATCTACTGTTTTTTGTACCTCAGTGTCCATCTGTAGTGTCGAATAAAAACATGATGGCGTAATATTAAGAAACTATGTATGATTAATGAAGTAGGGTAAAGTTTGTAATTAGCCAATAATCAATAGAAGCAAGAACTCTCATTTTTCTTCAATTTCGCGTTGAATTTATGATAGTAATACCAAGATTTATATGTTTCGAGACTCGCAAATATTTTCCAAACCGCATGTTTGATCATACAAGCTTGTTCATGATTCCCTAAAGATTTATTCAACGAGAATAATTTATAAGGATATATGGTAAAAAATAACGCAATCTCTGTAGTACTATTTTGCATTTTTGAGAAAGAACAAAAAATAATGATTCGACCTTGATATGAACAGCCAATCAGCACTTATGATAACATTCAGTAACCTTGTCAATTGTGCCTCAAATACATCACTCCAATATCTCAAAATTCATTCATCGTTTTCACTCCATGGAATTTTCTATTCATTTTTTTCTTTTCCTTCTGTATTGTGGTCTCTAGTTTCCTTGCTTTTTGCCTCTTACATCTTTATTACTTTCTTTCTAACATGACCTTTTCATTCGTTCCTTTTTCCTCGATTCATCCAATACATCTCCGTCCTGACACTGAACTATTTCCTCTTTTCTCGAATTACATTGAACATTGCTCACATTCCTGTTTCGTTTTTCATATAATAAGAATTAGTATATAAATAGAAATTCGAACATTTACCTATCTCCGCATTTCCATCTTAGAATAGAGTTTAATAAAGGCTTAAAGTCTAAAGGAATCCATGAAATTTCAGAATGTTTGAGTTACCCCTCAAAAAAGAAAGAAAGAAAACGAAAAGAAAACGTAAATAAAATTAATCAATAGTTTTTTTTAAATAAAAGTTTCACAGCTTCATGTATTCCTTTACGTAACATTAGATCATAGATAAGGAAATTACGTGTATTTATACATGTCTAAGGTCATAATCAAATCAAAATGTAATGCATGGGGAATTCTTTATCATTATTTATAATGGCTATCATAGATGTACTATATATTTTTATAGTGTAATTTATGAAAACTTGAGAAAAAATCTGAATATCTGATTCGTGTTCATGGAATAAAATATTTTTCACACTCAATTCAGACACGAGATTTTTTAATTTTTTTTTTTTTTTTTTAAGATACTGTATTTTCCGTTTTCTTTCGTCTCTTGAGACAATTTCCTTTTTCTGTTTATTATTATTTTTTATCCTGTTTTATTTTTTTTTTCTTATCTCGCACTTTCTTTGCATTTAATTTTCTTTGTTTTCCTTTTTTTGAATATCTTTTAGAATGTCTTTTTTCTGATTCTTATTGTTCTGTATTCAATTTTTATCCTTATTGCCTTTTTCTCTAAACTTCTAATATATATATATATATATATATATATATATATATATATATATATATATATGTTATTTTTTTTCTTATTTGACATTAACATTAATCGGAATGAAATCAGGAGAAAATGTATATTGTCATAATAAAAAATCCTTTTTTATATATTACTAACATATGAATATATTAATTATACATCCTATTCATCATCGAATTCATAATGTTCTAATTATGTAAATTGCTTTTTAATCAACACTCAATTAATTAGCTATTTATAGTTGCTAATAGATACACCTCACCATGTCCATCATTTAGATCTATCTTTAAAACATAAAAAATAACACATTTTTTTTACTATAGTTACACCTCACACTCATTCATATTATACAAAAAAAAACAGTAAAATCACATTGAAAACCTCCTTTGGTTTCTTTTCTTTCGGCAAATTTATATATATACTGTATAATCTATGACGAATGTACAGCATATGTAAATAACACGCTCACTACAGTTTCTAAAACGTGTTTTTTGTATTCACTGTAACTTTTCTGCGGAATAAAAAAAGTAGCATGGACTATTTTCCTTTTTTTTTTGGTTATTAAAAGACCTCTTTATTAGAGTTATTAGAGTATATTGTTTTGTTTTTATTCGTGCTACATAATACAGCTATGACGATAAAAAACTAGAAGCGGTTTGATAAGTAAAGTAGACAAAAATAAAAGATTTTTGTACATGGAAAATGACAGAGAGAGAGAAGGGTGGAGAGGGAGAGAAGGAATGGAAAGCGAGAGAAGAGAGAGAGAGAGAGAGAGAGAGAGAGAGAGAGAGAGAGAGAGAGAGAGAGAGAGAGAGAGAGAAAGAAAGCAGAAAGAAAGAAAGAATGAGAGAGAGAGAGAGAGAGAGAGAGAGAGAGAGAGAGAGAGAGGAGAGAGAGAGAGAGAGAGAGAGAGAGAGAGAGAGAGAGAGAAGAGAAAGAGAGAGAGAGAGAGAGAGAAAAAGAAAGAGAAAGAGAAAGACAGAGAGAGAAAGTGAAAGAGACAGACAGACAGAGAGAGATAGCGAGAGAGAGAAAGGCAGACAGGCAGACAAATATACACAGAGCATAGTCCTAGTAAGAGAGAAAGTGATAAAACATATAATAACAAGACACAAAACAGAACCAACAAGATACCAACAGAAGCATTAATTCCCTCCTAGTTTAAGGCTAGCAACCACTAGCGAGTCAGGTTCATACTAGCTCCAGAATCGGATCACTTTTGGGCAACACTTCAAATCTGCGACTATTTAACAAAAAAAAAAAAAAAAAAAAAAAAAAAAAAAAATCGTTTTTCACTCTCTTCTTTCTATCTCACTTTACATTCATGGATTATTTTATTTTTTACACTGAGATCCATCTATTTATTCAGTAATTGCAAGGTGGAGGGTGGAAGGGTTAGGGGGGGGAGGGAGTGGTGGTGGTAGTGGCACAACACAAGACACGTATTAAAACACACATATAATTTTTGTACTTGACAGCTGAAGGAGTGTGCTTCGTGGATAATTATTATTTTTTTTTTTCTTTTCTTGGGGTTATGTGCTTTTGTGTTTATTTGTGTATAGTGTGTGTGTATTGTGGGTGTTGATTTGTGTGTTGTCTTGTGTGGTTGTGGTGTTTGTGCGTTTGTTTGTTGAGTGTGTGTGCTTGTTTTGCTGTTTGTGTGTGTGTGTGTGTGTGTGTGTATGGTTTCAACCTAATTCAGACACACAGTTTGTACCAAAATAAAATCATATAAAGCCATAGATAAAATAAGGTGAACTGATGACAATAGTAATAGAAAATATTTATAACAACATACTGAGGATGAGAATAAAAATAATGTCATCAATAAAACTAGTAATAATTAGCATAAGGAACATAATAATGACGATTATTATGCTACAATTATTGATACTAGATTTTTTTTATCCATTGCACATAAAACTTTAATGATAAGAATTACGAAAGATGTTGATATAAAGAATAATAGTAATAATAGCCATAAATAAGATGCTAGACCGCTATTACTACTATTGGCAAGGTCAGTGTAATAGCAATAGTAATAATAATGTTAACGATAATAGCAGTAGTAGTAAGTAAGTAAATAAGTAATAATAATAATAATAATAATTATAATAATAATAATAGTCATAACAATAGTAATAATAAATGGCAATAATAAATGATACAATAAAAAAATAATAATGATAATGATAAACAAATAAATAGATAATCTCTATTAATAAACAACAATAACACATGAATAAATAAAAGTAATAATACACTTTGAATTCACATTTTTAGAAAAAAATACTATAATGAATTAATTAAACAGAGAAACCTTTGAAGAATAATGTATGAGTGTATAACGAATTGTCTGTATTTTTCGTAGTACATCTGTGTGCAAAGGACACCAAAAATTCACATTAATAAGGTAGGACATAAGAAGTGCACTGAATATGAGTGAATAAAATGACATACTTATGAGACATTTTTTCCTTCTTTATTGAAAATGAGTGAGACGAGAGCCTATAGCGTCTAGTCTGCTATAGGAAGTATATAGGTTTAGATATCTTTATTTAAATATCTTCGTTTTGTTCTCTCTCTCTCTTTCGTGTTCTTTTTTTTTTTTTTTTTTTTTTTGAATCACTGGTTGAAAATTCATCACTTTGACAACCTCTCTGGATTTTTTTTAAAAAGGAAATTGTACACTTATATCACTTTATTTTCCATGTTGAGTTTATGTTCCCAACGAATTCGGTTTCTGTTTTTCTTTTTCTTTTCTAATGGTAATTACAAACCAGATCTCTCACCAAACTAAGCTATTTTTCTAAAGTTTTTTTGTTTTCTTTTTTTTATTAGCACTTAGCCGAGGATCTCATTTGATAAGCTGTCAATCACATACCCACCACCCAACACACTGTTCTTTCCACACGTCAAAGGTATTTGTTCTTTCATATTCTTGGATGAAAAGACACATGTGGTTATTTGTTTTGAGATTTTTTATCTGATATTCTGGTCATTTTTTCTTCTTTTTCAGTTTAAGAGATTTCTATTTGTTTGTATATTTCCTCTTGGATATTTATACAATGTTCTTCATCCCATATTTCAGCAGAAAAATACCGCAAGTTGATAGAAGCCAAAGGAAATGACTTTGATAATCAGATCTGGCGTTATCGAACTCTTCTAAAATGTCCGGTCTTCAAAATAATCCTGATGTCTGCCTTTTTTCACTCACACAGTCACTTTCATACGTCTTCCTCAGGTAAGTCATATCTTGCTTGAGTTATGATACGAGTAAGACTGTTTTCAGCTTATCAAATATCGTTCTAAATCATCTATAAGAGTTTATGTACCACCGGATACAAAATTTCCTCTTTTTATCGAAGTCTGCCCTGCTTCTTTCTGAACCATTTTCTCCTTTGAATCCTCTCTTTGTCTCGATATTTATTCCCTCTTTCTAACTTATCTGGAGAAATCACCAGGACCATAAAGAACGCAAAAGAACGATGATAACAAACAAAAAATAAGAAAAATAACCAAGAGATGAAAAAAAAACAATAACAAAACGGAACAGGAGAAGTAGACGCATCACAACCCCGTTTTCTATAAAAGACTTCGAAGACACTGGTACTTCAGAAATCCCATTTTTGAAGGACGACCTCACACGTAAGGAAGGTTGGCCAAGGGCGAGGTGGGCGGCGTGGATTCCGTCTGAGGAAGATAAAGGAATTATAAGGAAACATAATAAAAATTGAGATTGATAACGCGAAAAATTTACCAAAATATTTGTGTATTAGATATTATTGATTAAGCACGTATTTCATAACAGCTTAATAAATGCAATTTGATAATTATATACAGAATTACTAGCTGATTTCTATCTAAAAGAGGGAGAGGGTGAGAGGGAGAGAGTTAGGGGGAGAGGGAGGGAGAGAGCGAGAGCGAGAGAGAAACAAAGATAGATAAAGAGAGAGAAATCGAAAGAGGGGTGATCGAAAAAAAAGAGAGGAAGAGACCGAAAAAAGGAAGAGAAAGAGAGAGATCGAAAAAAGAGAAAGAGAAGAGATCAAAAAGGGAGACAAAAAAAGACCCCCCAAAAAAATAAAAATAAAATAAAATAAAGATAAAAAAGCCACTCACGGACGTCGCTGAGCTCCTCTGAATACTACTGAGTATGGGCATGGTCACGCCCCCTCTTCGGGATCTGCTTCCACTCTCGGACACGCCCCAGCCCCGCCCCCAACCCCCGACTTCTTGGGGCTGCTGCTGCCCGTGTTGTTCGATGACGTCACTGCGAACAAAATGGCGGTCGTTAGTGGGAAAGAAATAGGGTGATAAAGAGGGGAAAAAAGGAAGGGAAGTAAATAGGGAAATAAAAAAAAAAGTGTCAACACGCCATTAATATTAAAAGAGATTAAATATTAAAAGAGATTCAACTACTTTTTTTTAAAGGTTATGGGAAAACTAGCACCATACAGGTCCTTATGATGAAACATTTTTTTTTCTCTACATCAATAAATAAAATCTAAAAAAGGTTTTTTATTATCATTTTTCTCTTTCTCACTCTTTTTTCTATATCTTTCTCTCTATCGCTCTCTCCAGTAGTTCAGTTAACCACCAAATGGCCCAAGGGTGATCTTAAGCACCGGAAGGCCCGTGGGTGAGCCTTACCTCCGGGCACGTTGGGCAGAGAGAGGTCGTCGTTGAGCAGCCGAGGCTTGGCCCAACCCATCACCTCCAGCCTGGGTCTCCTGAGGGAGTCTCTGTAGCCCAAAGGATCTCTTAGAGGATCCCTGAGCGGGTTGTCCTTGATTTCCTTCAGGGGATCTCTGGTGAAGTCCCTGAAGGAGGACGGGGAGTCCCTGGCCACGAGCTCCTTGGTCCGGTCCAGGCTGATGGTGTACGGGTGGCGGCTCATGTCGGAGGCCCTGGCGTGGTCGGCGGGCGTGCGGGGGAGGTCGCCCCTAGGGGCGGCTGCTGGCGGTGATGGCGGTGAAGGAGGGCGGCCCGTCGGCGATCATGGCCCCGAAGTGGTCGTCGTCGTCCCAGTGGCCCTGGCCCTGGCTCTGCCCCGGCGTCTGGCCCTGGCCCTGGATGCAGAGGCCCTGCCCGCGGGCCTTCAGACTCGAGCCCCAGATGTTCACGGGCGACTTCCGGCACTTGTCGCTGGCTCTGGAAAAGGTCTCGCTGTTAGGGAGCTATAGTGGCACTCTTGATGTATGAGAATGAGATAGATAGATAGACAGAGAGAGAGAGAGAGAGAGAGAGAGAGAGAGAGAGAGAGAGAGAGAGAGAGAGGAGAGAGAGAGAGAGAGAGAGAGAGAGAGAGAGAGAGAGAGAGAGAGAGAGAGAGAAGCAGAGAGTCAGAGACAGACAGACATGGAGAGAGAGAGAGGACAATGAGCTTTGGCGCATTTTTGCAGAACTACATCTTGAAGACCTTTAGTGGCACTCTGACTTCTACGGCATAATTACTTGTCATATGAATTGCAAATAGGATGACGCACATCTACCATAGCTTTATGAGCACACAGTGGTAAGCTCAAGGCAGTGGCATGTGCATCTGAATCCTTATGCAACTTCAGCTGCTTAACCAACTTATCCTGTCACTACATTGCCAACTACTTATTTTTGGAACGAATTAACTTTTGATAAGAGAAAACAACATGATTACTCACCATATCGCATTCATACTTCAGTCTCAGTATTGTGAAACAAATCTAAACTCCCTAACTGAATCCAAATGTTTCGAATTATGTTATTCTCGGGTCCAGAAACAACCATACTTACTGATTATACAAAACCGTTGATATTCGCAGCTAAAATCTCAAAAAAATCTCACCCCCGCTCCTCCTTCTCCCTACTCGTACTTACTGCTTATTCAAATCGTTGATATTGGCAGCTAATATAAA